CATCCTCCTCATTTGTAACAGAGGAAAACAACAGGAAATGAATGGCCACAAACCAGTATGATTTCATGAATAAGATAATCAAAATATGGATACTTCATCTGTAATATCACAGATGTCTTCTTGACAACCAATGTTTTAGCAATTACATTGCCTCATGCAAATATTTTTCTTCATAAGCATTTTCCACTTTTAGTGGAGGATTAATTTATCTAGATTTAGGCAGTGAATAGCTAACTTCTATCAGTGGCTGATTAGTGCGTGTACAAAGGATGCTGGGGCGGGGACTCACATGTCTTTGGAAAACAGTGATGTTCCAGTCTCAATGATAATTAAGCACGAGGAACCAAATGTCAAGATTCAAATGAAAAAATCTTTAAAGCTATGACCAAGCTTTTCCATATGCTAAAATCAATCCAAACCCCTAGATGTTTTCTAAAATATTGACTCTTACCTACACATTAATTGACTATCGATTTCTCCGGTTACAAAGACAAAAAGGCACCCACTGAGGATTTGAAAAACAAAAGATAATTTGTTCTGCAGTTAGTGTTTAGTCCTGATTTTCCATCAGTGCCAGCAAGTCTGGATCTAAGCGCGTTTCTAAAGTGTGTATTTTAAAAGATGATTTAGTCTGTATAAAACATTTTCAGCATATGTGAATAAGCACAAGGCTCTTCATGTTTTGTGCCTTATTTCATCCAGTGATGATGACATAAAATAACAGCATTTTACTATACTGCAATGCTACAGTCAGGTTAAAAAAAACACCAAAAAACCCCCAACCTGGGCCAGGGTCACCACTGCATTATGCCAGAATGACTCCAATTAAAATTAATGGCATGTTACCAGAATAAAATGGATTGTAACAAAGTAACCAGCCATACCCATTACCTCTCACTGAAATTGAGCAGCAACTAACTCATGTGGACATGAGTTCATTATTAAACCATAATTATATGGTTTAGTAGCATGGCTGGTCTTTTGTCTTTCCTCATCACTCAGGAAATGCATCTATAATACACAAATACTTCCTCCTTGGTGGCCTAACAGTACAGCAATAAGCAAAACTAGAGCTTAACTAAGGAATGCACACTTCAAGGAGTCAAAGTGATATTTCATGGAAACAAGGGCAGCCAAAAAAAAAAAAAAAACCAACAACCTGTGGATAAGAAATCAGACGCTGTTAAGGCCTCCTTGGACAATTCTATTTCAATCAAGAAAGAGGAGATGAAAAATTACTCTCAGTGGGAAAATGAAGGGCAAACACAATCTCAATATTAAAACAAGGTTGATAAAAATCTCCCTGCCTTTGTCCTCCCAGCTATGTTTTATGTCTCAGAAAAACGGGCACATACCACATAATAAATTTCAGAACCGCACAGAGAAAAATCGAGAGTGCAGCCCAAAGGTAGCTTTGTTCTATTATCAAGAGTTGCAAAATCACCCCTTATCATTATTGGCACACATATATAACCTCTCCTCTAAATATTAATAACTTCAGTCTTTCCAGACCTCTGTAGTGCAGGCACAATTAATCCCTGTTTAACGAGATGGGGAAACTTGTTAATGGGGAACAGCACTGGAAAGAGCAGTGTGGAAGACAAACAGGGGAAAACAAAGCTGCTCTTTAAAGGCCAGGCAGGTATTGATACTGGGATGCAGTTTAGCAGTCTCAGGATGAAGTTTTAATTTATACCAAGCCCAATGGTAATGAATTTCATTATTAACAGAAGTGATCCAAAACCAAAATACAATTTTCACAGGAATGAAAGGGCTGTAACCTGTCGAAGAGATGCTGAGCTCCAAACTTACCTGTTCTCCCTACACACCCTGCACAAGGTGCTACCTCCCCCAAAAAGCATCATCTCTCACAACTTGCACGCAACACAACGAACAGAGTTAACAGATATGAACATTCCAGCAGCCTGTCTGCTCCCTGTTCTTGTTCCACCTGCCATTCAATTAATAACTTGCACACCTAACACACCTAACCTCTGGTCCCAACGCTCACCTTACATCGTTATGTTGCACACCTAACACCCCTAACCTCTGGTCCCAACGCTCACCTTACATTATAGGTGGCGGCCAACGAGCCTCCTTAGCAATATCCTGCAGAAAACAAGACAGCAAAGAAGTTAGATCCATGTTCTGTGTCCAGTAGCATCTCTGGTTCATAGCCATTCCTCTAATTTTGTGATTTGAATCAACATTTAAAAACAACAGGTTTATTTAAAAATAAAAATCGTTATGAAGAGGCTTAATAAATACACACACACAATAGGGAAAGAAGCTTCCCTTGCAATGGAAGAAGAAACCGAGTGAGACCTGGCACTTGTGCAGCCTTCACTTTTCATTGCATTCCAGCAAACGGTGACCTGCTGCTGCTGTAACACCACCTGTCTAAGCATATCTATTATCAGAATGAATACAGACAGATATCACACAGCATCTGGGGGGTGCCCTACCTCTCCTGCCCCATAGCAAGCCCCCTGCCAGGGGGTGGTGTCACCCCTGGCTCTCTCCCCAGCACCACGCTGCAGCAGAGCAGAACCCCCAAGTACAGGTTCAGCCGGGGTCTCATTTTTATTGCTGTCAGGTCAATTCATTGCAAACACATTCTAATTCACCTTCAAAAATATTAGGTAATACCAAAAAAAGTGCTTAACAAGACCATGTAAGTAAAGCAGATTGTAAAATATACAAAGCTTAAATACACTGATTCAATGTTTTATTTAACGTACCACAGTGAGTCCTCAATATCCATATGTTTTAAAAGTGTGATCTTTTTTAATACTTGTTTTTTCATTATCATTTCTTTTTCTGCTCAAGCAATACCACCTACACTCTCCAAGAACCTACAAAGGCCGAGAAGATTACAAGTAAACATAGAAAAAAATCCCACAATTAGCACTAAAATATTCTTGCAATAATGTACTAAAAATGTATTCAAAAGATGAGTACTAAAACTGTAAAGTACTAAGCAAAATTATGGCTCAAGCTTCTCCAGGAAATATAAAACAGACTGGGACTTCAATTCACATTAAAATTAGGCTTATTGTCAGAACGAGACATGAAATCCCTGATCTCTTTCCTCTTGTCAACCTCAAAAATCAAGGACAACATCAAAGGTTTCAGCAGAGGAAGGCAAAAGCTAGTTAAGGAAAGTTATGCAGAAGAAAACCACCAGAACCCCCCCAAACCTAAAAGAAAACAAGCCAGCCCACCCCAACCCCAGCTGTAGACACAGTGGGAAGAAATCCCACAGTACATCATTCTCCGAAACAATTCATCATTCTCTCTCGTAATGTGATTTTTTTCTTCTCTCTGTTCCTAGAGGTAAAACAGGTTTCCTTTGCAAATACCTTATTTTCAGCAGAACCAGAGGTTATTCCTCAGTTCTGCACCTCATAACTAGAATGGGGTGCAGGGGAAATTCATGTCAATTCTGAAGGAGCCCTATGGAGAAACGTGACCCAAGCTGTTGGCTGGGATGGCACTGGGCAGCACACAGCAGCTCCTTTAGCCTTAACACAGGCACCCCTTCAGTTGGTAGATGTCTACTGACTACAGCAACTTCAAACTCCTACAAACAAGTTGTTCCAATGCTAAAGCTGGACCTCCTTGGCACTTTTCATCAACAGATGAAGGAGTCTGGGCTCCCGTAAAACCTCTGAACCCTCCAAGCATGTGGTTAGGAGCTTGGTACTATCATCTCTGAACAGGTGGCTGAAATGTTAAGAACAAAGAAACCAATTACACGATCAATAGGAATTCTGTTAAGCCATCCAGAAACCCGCTGTGCTTTTTGCACATTGCTACACAAAATACTCTCCACTCCAAGAACTGAGGTTGTGTGAGGACTGGGAGGTAAAGGTGAAAGCTCCTGTGAGTACAGAGGCTTTTAAAACAGCATCTGTCATCCTCAAAGACTGCAAAATACTAAAATACAGCCAGAGAGAGTGCAAAGTATTTGTAGGTATCGGATGTTCTGCGAAGTAGCTGCACCAGCTTTTGTGTTCCAGCAATCTTCTCCTGGTTTTATTAAACCTGGCTGAAAACCACAGAGCAATAGAAGGAAAAACAACAGTGAAGCCTAAAAATGCTGCACAAACCCAAACAGAAGGGCAGAACTGAATATTAACTTCTGCCTAATTCAGTTTGGTAAATCCCAGGGATGAAGCAAGTAGGAAGCAAAACATGAGAGCGACTTTGGGATTTAATAATTGTTTTCATTTTTTCCTGATTGCATTTATACCAGTATCAGTGCTTGTAATGCAGAGATTACTTTCCACACCTGATCACAGCTACAAATTCTCAGAATATGAATTTGGAAGAGATAATCACCTGATTTGCCCATATTTTTCATTTAAAACCTCAGACGTTTGACATTGCACTTTTTCAGAAGAAAAACCTGCTGCTCTTAAGAATAACAAGCAGCACACACCTTCTTCCTCACATAGGTTAGTTCTAATTCATAATCATAATCACAAAGCAGATCCCAACACGGATACAGGAGGGTGTGAGCTGAGCTTTAATTTGAGACTGAACAAGACTGTCCCATTCCAGCTATAGCCAGTCCATCTGAACTTCTAGAGAACAACAATGCAAGAACACTGTCCACAAAATGACATAGGAAAAAGAAAAGGAGGGTAGGGACAGAGCAGAGAACTGTATTTTTCTTTATTTGGAATATCTAAGCCTTGGATTTCCCAGAATATTGCTGGAGATTCCTCAAGGAAACTACAGAAGAACTCAGAAGTGAGTCTCAAATGACTGCTCCCCGGCTAGTTTATACAGCTACTGCCAGCATTTAAAGATAGTTAATTATTTATACCAACACAGAAATAATTTGAATCATTAACTGCAGCTGTTTCATACTCCTCCTCCCTAAAAACACTGTTTGTTTTTCCTCATGAGGGACAGCTGCTCAAACAAACTAGGAGAAAAGTTTATGAGATGACTGAAAGTGCTTATGGTATAAAAAAATCCAAACAAATAAATGTGGGACCACCTTACTTTTTATTTTAGAATTTTTGATTAGTGAAAACTGAGAAGTCACTTCACTCCAAACCAGAAAGCAAGACGGTATCTTCTGCAGATCCTGAGTTTCAGTCCTTTCTACCAGATAGTTCATTATGGAATGAAGAGGATGCTATCTAATGCCAAACAAGACCCAGGTTTCCAATTCAATGCCCATCACAATTACAATCTTCAAATTTTGTTGTAAAACACCAGAGACACCTCAAAGTCAAACAAACAAACAAATCTTTCCAATGCAGCAGTCCAGAACAAATCCACATGCTGTGGCCCATGCGTTAAAAATAAATAAATCCAAACCTAAACAAACTCCCCCAGATGCCATCTAATCAAATTACTTTTTTTTATTTTTTCTCCTTCCAGCACAGTTCCCTGCAGCTGTGGTTCCTACCACTTGACTGGGCTTTGCCCTCGTGATTGTTCTGTCTTCACATAAGCATCATAAAGTTCTCTCAAATGCAAGAGCAGCTCCTCTAGGTTGTCTCCCGTCAGCGCAGACAACGCAATGACCCGCTCATCTGTGTGTTCTTTAAGGAGCTGCAGATTGATCCTGGACTGAGCAAGGTCAATCTTATTCCCGATGACAACACGAGGCCTCTCAGACAATCCTTTTTTATATTGCTCCAGTTCATATTTTAAGTCTTGCAGCTGAGTCCACGGCTGAGACACGGAGAGATCCACCACGTACAAGAGGAAGCAGCAGCGCTCAATGTGCCGCAGAAAGGCCATCCCCAGGCCCCTGTTCTGATGAGCACCTTTGATTAGGCCAGGGATGTCAGCAACTACAACGAGGGAAATTTCACAGTGAATCCAACAGATCCAATAAAACAGAAAAATCCCAGTCTTTTTTACTGGCCAGTGCAAGTACTTTTAGAATTACATCTCAAAGCATCAATATTAAAGCATACCTCATATTAAGTTTGGCTGCTATTATCCTTTAAATTTATATTATTCCAGTGAGGACAGAATACAGATAGCTAGGTTGATATTAAGGGCACATATAAGTCAACGTGAAATGGGCTTTCAGTATTGTTTTGTTTGAAGTTCTTTGGAACTAGCAAGAATTCTACAGAAATGCTAAACTTACTTGTGCAGCGTTTCAAAGAACAACCCAGGTGACACAAATCACTGCCAAGGCACACACAACGTACCACAATCCTTACCTGCCACTTGTTCATAGTCTTGGTAGCAGACAACGCCGACGTGGGGGTTGAGGGTGGTGAAAGGGTAGGCAGCCACCGCTGGCTTCGCGTTGGAGATCGCTCTCAAAAGGGAGGATTTGCCGGCGTTGGGAAAGCCCACCTGGAACACAAGCACTCATTAAAGCCACAGCTGTAGATTAATCCCGATTAAAAAACCCTGTAAGCTTTTGCAGATGAGACAAGGTTCTTCGAGCATGAATAGAAGAACATTAATTTTGCATACTTAGTTCTGAAAAGCATCCTGCTTTCCCTTTTTTATTTCTACTAAACCCTGTTCTATTTATACATGTATTTTCTCATAATCATCAAACAGATCAAACATAGAAGGGTCCCCTTGACTTTTTTTTGTGCCATCTTAAGTATTCACTTTGTTCAAGGTCAAAAGCATATATACAATAAGATCTCTTCTACCCTGAAATAATGTTATTACGCTTTGTTCTGCACTTCCCATTTTATCTATGTTCTCTATCTCTGATTTATTATTTTCCAAAATAATTCAGGACTGGCTTTGTCCCTGATTTAGTAACACAATTGGCCTGTAAGTAAAAAGACTGCCTACAAGTTTGGGATTTTACAGCTCTTCACCGTCTTGACATGAAAGAATTAAATTGAAACTTGGCCTTTTGGGAGGAAGGCAAGAATTTAAACAAACCTATCCCAGAAATGAAATTACTCTGAGATATCGAATAGTTGATATGTGAAAGCTACAGAGATGGTCAATAATCCCCAGATGAAAATAGATCAAATCCTAAATTCACCTATTTGCTGATGTCAGATGCTTCAAATTTGTGAGGAAGTGAAGAACAGAACAGATTCATCTCAGACTTCCAAATTAGTGCCAAAAAAGTGAGAAGTGGACCAGAGTGTCCAGCTGGTCAGAGAATTAACTGTATTGATCCACCAATGCCGACTTTTTTCTCACTCTTGAAATAAATTCACTAAGTTCTGCTAGACCAGACAGTTATTCTGCAGTTGTCGAACTACAGCAAGAACTCTTTGTACAAAAACTGTAATTTTAACTGCTTTACCAGCTGCTGTTAAAACATTTCCATACTTAAAAATGAAAACAGTTTAAGCCTTAAATTGACTTAGCATTCATGTTTAAATAGTATTTTCATTTCAGAGGATGCTAAATCTGGAACTAACACAGTGAAATGTTTAGTGTCTGTAAAAAGATAAATATAAGGGTGAAATAGAAGATGTTTTGAACTTAATCAATTTTCTTTTAAGAAAAAAACCCCAAAAACCAGAAATTAATTTAGAAGAACTCTCCATACTGTACTGTTCATCTGCAGAACCAGCAGACAAAGCCTGCTGTGTATCATCACTGAGTCTATTACTCGCTGATGAATCTTGCACATCGCTTTCCTATATATTCTGTTGATTTTAGTGAAAGTAGGATGACGTCAAGTAGCAAGAGAGTGACAGCTCTGCAGATCACTTTGGACACCCTTCTACCAAGTAGCAGCGAGAATGCATCGAGTTGCATCTCTAAAGGAGCAAGCCAAAAGGCTAACAAAAATGCTATCAAACATTATTTCTTCAGTCAGTCAAGTGTCATCCCACAAGAACCACAGCGACACTCACCAGTCCTGCATGAGCTGTTGTCTTGAGTTCCAGATGGAGGACCCTTTCCTGACCCGGCTCTCCTGGAGTAAATAATGTTGGAGCTCGGTTTTCATTGGAAAGAAAAAAGCGATTGCCTTTCCCTCCAGCTCCTCCATAAGCTGCAACATACTCTTTCCCGTGTTGGGTGAGGTCAGCCACAACTTTCCCATCCTCCTTAACCAATGTACCCACAGGAACCTTGAAGTGAAGAGAGATGCAAGTGTTACACTGCAGCTCAAAGCCTGCAGCAGAGCTGTCCTCAGCAGACCCTTTACCAGCAGATTTCAGATCTGTTGAAAATCAGCCCTCCGTATTCTCAATCAGAATCCCAAAAGAGAAGTGGACTTCAGGAGGCTCCCTTTCTGGGCCCTCTCAGGTGTTTACACTTCATTGAAATGTTAACAGTACCATAACCCTTTCTCTCCTTTTATGCAGAGAAACCTAAGCACAGTAGCGAGTTGAGAAACATATTGTAGGCATGCACCAAGGAAACCTAAGCAAGCACAGTAGCAAGTTGAGAAACATATTGTAGGCATGCACCAAAACAGGCACACTGAAGAAAAAAAAAAAATATTGAAGAAAACAAGTCTGTTCCTATTTAAGAAGTTCTGTGTTGTGAACGCTCTAGGTACATGAATCCTAGAAGTAAAGCAAATCAGAACTGGCCAGAAGTACATTCCAAAGAAGTCTAATTTTTACAAATGACTTAAAACAGCTTCATCTGTCTGTGTGCCAACCAGCCCTGTCTCAGCAGAGACAGCACACAAGCTCCCTGTAAAAAAGCACATTTTCTCATAATAAGGTCATCCAGCTTGAAAATCAGCAATGTTCATACAAAGCTAATATGCTAGCATGCAACCTTAATTTACTTACTTTAACATACATGCAGGCACCATTAGCTCCGTAACAGTTTTTGCTTCCTCCTCTCTCTCCATGAAACCCCTGATAGAAGGGGAGGACTGAAAAAAGTGATTTCATTTGCCGGTCAGCTGTAAAGCAAAATATGTGTATTTTAAACTTATTGTGTCAGTACAACAGGCACAGAAGAGCAACCTTTTAACTGTTCTTCCCCTTTTTTAATACTGCATATCCTATTTACCGTCTCAACAATAACATGTCAGGGAAAACTAATATTAACTTAAGTTGTGAAGAAGTTTAACTGCCTTTACTTAGGTTTATTAACCATGTACTTTATTATGTGGTCATTCCAAAATCAACCATTACAAAATCCTCTGAAAAATTCATTAGCAGATTTTGCAGCAGGGTGGTGGCAGAAGCAGCTTTATCCACCTTAAGAGTAAAATTTGATCAGATCCCAGCCTTATCACAACATAGTCATGCACCAGCCACTAAAATGTCTGCAAAATATCTTCATTTTCAAATGCTTTCTAAGGCTGTCAGTGCCATTTATGTCTCTGCTACCACAGCTGAGGACAAAGCTTAAAAAGCAAAGCCATCTTACACAGAAATAACCATTTTAACATTTTTGACATTTACCAGCTCCCACCATACAGTGTGTTGCAGGGTTGCTTTTGCTGGGGAGTGAGGTGTTAAGTGATAAGACAACACAAAACAAAACAGATCTAGTGAGTCTTACCCTTCAAAATGACGTGACCCCCATCACCTCCATTTCCACCATCAGGACCTCCAAATATTTTCCTGGGTTCACTATAAAAGGAATGACCCCCTCCTCCTCCTTGTCCTCCAACCACACGCACCTTCCGGTGATCCACGAAATAGCGGGTCTGTAACAAGGATGGGGTTTGTACCCTTTAAGTACAGCGTGTCAGAGCCGCCTTCCAACAAGTTGGTTGTTCTGCAAAACTTAGCGATGTGCAGACCTGCTATGTCACTGTCAATTCTATTCAACAGCAAAAAAAATAACAAAGAAATTGGAACTCTGCTGCTACTCACTGATCAACTAAAAACAGCCTATTAAGTACTGTTCAAGTATTTTTTTAAGAAACCTCTCAAAAGTACTTGCCTGAGACTATGTCGATATAACCTAATGCAGCAGCTCAGATACCAAAAGTGCAAAACTCACGTTAAGGGAACTGACAAAAAAAGTATCCTTTTAATACAGCTATATGATGCTGAGAGGTAGCTCAAGAGAGCTGCCACACTGTAAGCCAATCCCAAAAATTTTTAAAAACCATATATGTAAACTTTTTACTTCTTTAAATCAAACTGAAATTTGCAAAAATGACACAGTACATGTGTGGGAGGGATATTCTCATCCTGATTCACGCCTTCTATACCAGGTGATGAAATCAAGGCAAACTTCAATTTTCTAACAATTATGAAAAGTATTAAAGACAAAGAATAGAAAGTATTTACAAACACAGCAAGTAGCTGAAATCTTAATATATGCCCCAACCAGTTGCTCAGGGGCTAAAAAAAAAGCTAAACTGTAAAGAGAACTCCAGATCTTGGATCTATTTCTGACATTAACTTAATATTTGACTTCTGGCAAACTAATTATACTGCACTATGTTTTAGCTTTTCTGTCCGCAAAATAGGCTTAATGATATTTACTCATCCCCAGGAAGTGGGCTGAGATCCCAAGGGAAACTATTAGAGAAGTACATTCACAGAGGCGGGTGAAATCGTTCACCTATTGGGATGGAAAGAGAAAGCATGACCTTGACTGTGGCAACATTCAAGTTCTGTCAATTACTAAGGGGCTTCATAATGAGAATGAGCAATAAGGGTCACTTTAATTAAACAGCCCAAACAGGACATGAAGGAGAAAAAGTCTTATTAGTATTATGATATGAGCAACTGGAAAAAAAAAAAAAAAAAACAAACCTTAACTCTCGATAATTATAGTCACAGTGTGACCACTGATTTCCTAAAAAGCGTCTTTTAGAAAAGTATTTGGCACCCCCACACGGCGAGACAAGAAACTAAATGGAAGTGATTTACTGATCATTAGAAAATAAGGTTTTCCCTAAACGCGTAAAAAAAAAATGGGAAGAAAAAGTTCTAGAACCCCGCAGTTTCCCTGACATGAAATGCTGTCTGTTTGGCAGCTGGCTACTGCGTAAGGCTGTAAAAACAGTGCAGAAACAAACCGGTATTTTAGCTTTTAATCTACCTAATTCCCGACCTGTGGACGCTCCCAGCCGCGGCTCCGGGCGCTCACACCGCTCCGGCCGCCCCCCCGAGCACCGGGACTGCCTCACGGCAGAGTTATTTCCTCACTCTTCACAAAGTTAATCAGATTTTGGAAAAACCAGCCCCTCACGGGAGGAGCACGCACGGGCCCTCTGTGAGGGGAGGCCGGCGAGGAGCGCGGCCGCCGGTTTCTGAGGCGCCTGAGCGGTGACCGCCCCGCGAGGTGACCGCACCCCCCGCCGACACCTCGTTTACTCCAAAACTCACCAGTTTCCTTTCCGAAATGACTCTTTTTTGCCTCAGCCGCCTGTTCTTTGAGCACCTCGCGCAGCTGGTGGAGAAAGCCGGCTGCCGGCCCCCCGGCCTGAGGAGAAGGAGGAGGGCCGGCCTCCACGGGGACCAGCCACCCAGCGCGGCACCGCCAGCCGCCGGGAGAGCCCGGGCGCCCAGCACGGCCCGGCACGGCGGCAGCATGGCGCGGGTAACCCCCGTGAGGGCCTGGCCGGCCAGCACGGCCCGGCACGGCGGCAGCATGGCGCGGGTAACCCCCGTGAGGGCCTGGCCGGCCAGCACGGCCCGGCACGGCGGCAGCATGGCGCCGGTACCCACCGACAGGGCCCGGCCCGGGCCTGCCCCCTCCGCGCCCCGCCCCCGGCCGCGCGCAGGCGCCGCTGTGGGGAAAGCGCGGGAAGGAGCGTTCCGCTCCCCCTCAGGCAGCGCCGCCGCCCGTCGTCCCTCACCGCGGCCGCCCCGGGAAGAGCGTCGATGCCGAGGTGCGCAGAAATAGTCCGTGATACCCGTGAGGGATGAGAGGAAGAGCGGTGTGGGAGGTCCGGGATCTCTGTCCCTCAAGGGCCCGGAGAGTGTCCCGCCCGCTGCGGTCTTAGCGGCGCTGGAAGTGGCAGCCCCCGCAGTGGGTCTGGGGGGAGCGGCGGCAGCTGAGGGAACACAGGGCCGTCTGTGGGGCTTGGTGACTGACCCACCGGGGTCTCAGCCCCCTGAGGAGTCCGTCTCAGCCCCCTGAGGAGTCTCTCCCTCAGCCCCATGAGGAGTCCATCTCTGCACTTTGAGGAGTCTCTCAGCCCCTTGAGGAGTTCCGCCCTTGACCCCATGATGAGTTCGGTCCGTCCCAGTCCCATAAGGAGTCCACCAGCCCCTTGAGGAGTCTCCCTCGGTCCCATGAGGAGTCCCCCAGCCCCCTGAGGAGTCTCCCTTGGCCCCTTGAGGCCTGCACCATCAGTCTGCCTGACACGTCTTCCCCCAACACCGTGAGGTGAGCTCTTACCTACACACACACACTCTGTACACACACAGCATCTCATCTTTGCACATTAAATAACTGGAAAGCTAGGACCAGCTTTCATTATACATAATCATCTATGAAGTGTATTTGAGAAGTAGGGGAGAGGGCGCAGCTCAAAATCTCCCCCGATTTGTTGTTTCCATTCAAAAGTCCCGTGTCGTAAGAAAAGTACCACCAACTTCGTTTTCAGATAATTTTTAACCTAAACAATTTTCAAGCATTCTGTATTACAAAACAGAAAATGATACAATTAATGGAAGAGGTCAAAATGCTGGCATCACTTTGTTTCCACATTAATACATAAAAATGGACAACACATTAAATAAACATTTTGTTATTAACAATTATAAATATTAACACCAAAAGTCATGTATAAATTAGGAAATAAATGTACAAACTATTTCCAAAGTGCTCTTTCAAATACATTATATACACAACATTCAAGAAGTTCTTAATGTAAGACATTTCAGATTGATGTAATGTTGCTGTTTCATTTTAAGTGTTGTTCATATTCTCCCAAAAGTATTTCAGCACTTTCCAAAACCACATAAAAGGCGTATTTCCAAGCTGGCAAAGAGCAATATTGCATTCTTCTGGCTACCTGTAATAATATATTGTAAAGAAAACAATCTTACTTCTTTTCTGTTCCTTGCTATTTGAGAGTACTTACTTGTATGAAAACACCAGCAGGGAAGGTGAGAGAAATGAAGACTGACTAAAAAAATGTCTTCAATTTTCATCAGTAATTGAAATCATTAATGTAGCAAGGGCAGTGCTTGGACAACATTTAATAGTAAACTCTTCAGCTGTTCAGTTAAAGACTTTCCACTACAGGAAAAAAAAGTAATGAATTGAGAGATCTTTTTTTTTATTCCAGTGGTCTTGGTTTTTTAAAATATAAAGTACTAGAACTTGAAATCTTGTAAATACACCGTTTCAGACAAAGGAGAAAATCCTACGGAGGGTGTATTTATTGTATATTGTAAATGTGCAATTAATCTTGTGTTAAAAAATGCTCATGGAGTATAGTCATCCTCGCCTTTTGCCTCTGAGAAAATTGGTAATTCATTCAGCACTTATATAAGCACTTTAGAAGTGCTTTTTTTCAACACTTTATAAGAACATATAAAACTCAATAGAAGTGACTTACATTGTTCATACTGGCTTTTACATACCACTAGTTTTTATTTCTAAGTTCTCCCCCTATAGGTATTCTCTCACTGGTTGACCCCATTAATAGTTCCCCTCTCTATATGCATAATATTGTTTCACAATTAAAGCTGAATTTACTTTCTTATCTGCAATGAAGATGGATTTTTTTTTCCTTTTACTTCTGACCTATTTCTGTCAAGCTACAGGAGAAAAATAAAAATGATAATGAGCTGTAAGAACAGTCGACCAAGAGATTTGACAATATTTATGGTTATAATGCTTGCTGGAAAATCTGAGCAAGGGCAATGGAAGAATCAGAAATAATGAAGGATGCCAGCCACCTGCTTGCATAATTTGGCATGAAAATGTATATGCGAGTTATAAAATTTGGAGTAGCATGTTTAAGACTGGAGTTTTGCCAGATGTTTTTCTCAGCTAAGCACAATATGAAGCAATATTGACATCTAGTAGGCTGACACTGCAGATCTCAGAGCTCTCCTCTATTTTTCTTTCCATGAGAGAAATACTTTAGTTTACATGGATATATAAAAGGTGCCTCTAGTGATTAACATTTCCTTGAATACAGGTTTTGATCCTCTTTCTGTACCTTTTACAACAGAAATGTGGACTTAGGCAGATTACTGAATTATAAGACTTGGGTAGGTAGCTATTGCAGAAATTGCAGTTCGTTTTAATTTTTATCATCTAGCATAGAACTGTCTTCACCTAAAGGATGTATCCATGCCCTTACTCTGAAGAAGTAAAGTTAAGAGCCATGGATTTGAGAGGCTGGCAGGTATTCTTTCAATGCATTCAGTTAAAAACCATCAATAACCTCCCACAGGATACTTCCCTGGACCGAGCTGTGAGTGAATGGCTTTGTATTGAGCCAGACTGCAGAATAACCTGGCTGTTTTCCAGAATGGGGCACAACTGTGATCAAATGATCCTAAAGCTATTTAGAAACATCAAGAATGGGGCAGGGTAGGGGGGGTAAATGGAAAACTTCTGCATTGTATCAACATACAGTACTATACACACTACCAAATATCAAACCATTAAAGCATTGTCTTGTTACCAGTAGTGCACTGCTTCATATCCAGCATGAAATGAACACTGTTCACATACAGACGCTGCTTTGTGCTAAGGGGTAACCAACATATTACAATTAATCAAAACTGCCTGTACATCCAGTTCAAAAGATGGAGATACTATTGAAATGAATCTGACACGGGATCGTATTCTTTTATTGCTGATAATTTCCATATTGTCCCTATAAAAGAGAAAGAAATAAAAATGTTGGAGAACAATGTATCAGAGGTTTACAAACAGTGAGTTAGACCATTTCTTTTGGTCTATGATTTTTGAAAGACCCACTGAAGTATCCCCAAACTATCAGACAGATTTAAATGCAAAGTTAACAGCCAAATCTGGCTTTTCATGGCAGAGATTTAGACAATTTACCTGCTCGTAGCCGTAAGGCCTCTGTTGCTGAGCGGACGGGCCTGTCTGAGAAGCTCTGTAACTTCCGTATTGCTGCCCCTGTCCCTGTTGGTAGCTGGAATACTGTGAAGAGGCTCCTTGTGCAGGTCCTGAGGAGACAGTGAAATCCATTATGAAGGCTTAATTTGCTAGGGGGAGTTCTCAAGCTTTACACTAGAAAATGTTAATACTAATAATGATCTAGTTGTAGCAGTGGGAACTCCAGGCTTTAAGCTTTGCACAGAAAATGTTATATCCTTTTAAGTGATTTTGCACTTCAGCTTTGTTCCTTTCTCCTCAGTCCCTCACCAAGGAACAAAACCCTGATGATGTTGCAAGAAGTGAGGGAGTAATGATTCTCTGCATTGTTGATTTTATATTTTCATGTCAGCTCAGAACTCTTGGATGTGCAGGAGGAGGCCTGAGGCTCCAGGCAGTCACCTCCTGCTGACACTGACCAGGAAGTCATCAGGAGGCAAAAGTGTACTTTTTAACTTTCCAAGTTTGTTTCACGAGAGAGGGATGCAGGATGCTAATATACCGGTACGGCCTGCAGCGCTATACTAATGGGTGTTACTGCTCACAGCCCCTTTCCATGCTATGCTGTGGCTAGTTTTGGTATGGGGATGTCCGAGGTTCATCAAGGGAATAGTTTACAGCATATTTTAGCTTAGGAATGGAGGCGTCAGGATGAAGTACTGCAAAACCTGAGTTTTCTTACCGTATCCTTGCTGTTGTCCCGGGTAACTTTGCTGATTTGGGTATTGCTGCTGGGAGTACGTTTGCTGTTGTGCAGCTCCCTGTTGGTACCCTGCCTGCTGCTGGCTGTACTGAGAATTTCCTAATGAGGGAAAAATTGAAATGGTTTGGTTAGAGATGAGGCAGGTGTTTCACTGTATGTGTGAATCATATGGAAAACAAAAGAGCCTTGGCCTAGAACTCATAAACAAGTACTCTTTTCAGAAACAGATGTTTGCATTTGCCAATCATGATGAGTTTATGTCTTCAGTGATTTTTAGTTCTTTTGAACAGGAGAGAGTTGTTTATTTATACACATCACTAAACAAGCAAACAAGCAACCTGTTCCCTAAAGGTTTGTGGTTTTTTTTTTACCCCAGAAGTGTTTCACAGAAAAAAACACCAAGTAACAGAGATAAGGGTGCCAGCCTAAATAGCCAGTTTCTCAAGAAGCCCTCCCACTGTATTCTCTTCCTGATAACAGTGTTTGTTCATATATCCCAGAAAGACCACTTAGCTAGTTGTTCCTGGTATTGTTTGAGATACCTATGGTGGAAATTCCATTTGCAGTATCCTGAAACAACAAAATGAAATGTGACTATACAGGTGACATTGCTTTTCCTAAATGCCACCTCGCTGTATCATAATAGTTAATACTTTGCAGTTAATTTAGAATTCAGATATCTTAATAGGATCACTGACATTACTGACATACTACTGTTGAGAGTTTTTTAGTGGTAGAATTGCAAACTGATAGTATTGGTGATTTTCAAAGATTAGTTTCATTTAACCCGTTGTTTTTCACAATTTGTAAAATGGATTAAGCAAGATTAAAAAAGCAGCTGGTCCTGGAATTAACCAGTAGGCTTCCTTAGAGAAATTTCCTTTTATGGCTGCCATTTTTTTCCAGCTCTGAACCCCATTTCTAACTGCAGTGCGTTAGTTTATCTTTGTCAGCAGAACCTTTTACTTTAATACAGCCATTTTTATTTGCATTATATAAATTGCTAAACAGTTTTGTAAGAGTGGAGGATATTGATCTCCTGGAAGTCTTTTCTCTTACTGCAAAAAAAAGTTCAATATCCATAGCTATAATTCCACCTGGCTCAGCTACAACCAAGGATCATTTTTCTAATGAATGAGGTTCCCCACAAGTCGTTATTGATCCCAGGAGGCTGCCCAGCACGGCCCCCTCCCAGTGCAGTGAGTGACATGATCCTGTGTGTACAGGCTGAGATAGTGGTGCTGTATAAAAAATGCTATCCATAGCTAAATTCCATTTCCTGGACACTCCTTGAATATAGTTAAGCAGCAGTTAGTGACGCAGAAATTGCGACTTATATTTTACATTTTCATAAGCATTCCATTAGTATTTTAGGGGATTAGAGCTTTGCTTTACAAATATTGCCAATATATTTTCCTACCTCCTTCGTAATAATGCTGTGTGGAGTCGTCAAACGACCTGTCATAGCTCTGCTCAGTATAGGATGACTGCTGATAGGCATAATCACCATGGCCTACAAGGAATTGCAAAGATTTGTCAGGTACATTGTTAATATTACTAGAGATATACTGTTGAATACATTTATTATGAAGCTGCTTATGCACAAAGATGAGGCTAAGAGGAAATACAGACCCCTTAGACAGGAGGTTTAACACATGGCAAGGAAAGGCACACCTATGGATAAATCTCTTGCATGTACTAATCCAAACTTGGCTTCGTGCTCTTTTTGAAGCAGTTGGATAGCAGGATGCAATGATGTGTGTGTTTGTGCCCCTGGGATTAGAATTTTCTAGCTCCCATGCCCTGGGATTAGAATTTTCTAGCGTTTAAATTGGAAGTGAATCGTAATGGGTTTGCCATGTTCTTGGATGGGGCAAGTCGTGCTGGGCTGGGCTCTAGCAACGTTACAGCGAGTACAGCTCAGAGGAATTACCGTCTGGATAATATTGCTGATTCATGGGTTCTGAGGAGCCTTGGCCATGACTGTACTGTTCACTGTAATATTCTTCCTGACCCATGTACTGCTGCGAGGAACCTGCAAGGCAAAGACAGGAGAGTGCAAACTGAGCCCAGGGACCCCTAAGGGATATTTTTTTCTTATCTGATTTTTTTTTTAAGAAAACAGTGTTTACATCTAGATAAGTAAGCAAGCTATGCATGTTGAGAGCAGTTTCAAAGATGTCTTTCTCACTAGAAAAAGGAAATAAATTTGTATTCTCAGACAAAGCCGGTTGAAATTGAAATTACACAACAGTCAGTAACATCCTAAAACCATTCGCTTCGGCGGCAATATTGAAAGTAATGGCTACATTTCAGCTACTAATAGGAGTTATTAGAAAGCACAGGAATGTATTCCATGCTCAAGAGCACAGAAAGAATTAAATATATTTTAATTAATGTATTAATTTGTTTCTTAGCAAATTCAGTTTATGTTAGAATCAGTCTAGCAGCTTTATTACCTCTTACAACTTTTTCCAGAGAGGTCTTAGAGCATGGTAGTTATCCTCTGGTGTTTTCCTTTCCTTGGCCTAATTTTTCGTACTAATTGCTGGCAAACTATCTTCTTTGCAGAAATGTGTTCCTTGTTAACTGTGCCATGTTACGGCTGATCCAATACCATTTGAAAGAACTGAAAAGATTCCCAGTGGCTTCAGTGAGCTGTATGTCAAATTGTTCATCTTTTCTTTAGAGATATGTGATCCCTTTTAGACAGAATTATTTTTCTAAACACCTGAAATAATTAAATAGATAAATCTTGAAAATAGATTAAAGTTCATCTGATTGTCATGCTACTTCCACCATTCGAGATTTCCTCTCTTCCCGGGCGAGGTTCCCTGTTCATAGATGTGACTTGGAAATTTTGCTGACTTACCTACCCCACGGGACGGGCTGCTTATCACCGATCTATTACTAATTATATCACTAATCTGACACGGGGTTTTACCTTGCTGCGAAGCTCTGTAGGGGCCCATGGGTCGCTGCCCCATCATGCTGTTGCCCTGGTTGCTCTGGCTCATCATGGCGATGGAGGACTGCCCCTGGTAGTGCTGGCTGCCTCCTTGCGCAGAGTTGTAGTGCGACGTCGCTGCTTGCTGGTGCATCATGGAGACTACAACGTACAGGGAGAACACTGTTTTCTAAAAGGATGTGACACTTCTCTCCCTAGTCTCTTTGGAAGCAAGTTAAAACTTTAAACTAACATGCATCCTGATCATTCTGGGAATTTTCCACAGGGGGAGATGTTTTCCTACTCCATGTATTTAACTCTTCTGCACTGTAATCCAGAAAGTATGTTATTACATGGTCAGTTCTTGCCACTTGCTTCAGTCAGACATTTAAATATATATCTAGCCATGATTATTATTAGTTTATTTAAAATAATGTAATCACTATGACAGTAGGATTAAAGAAAGAAATAAGAACTGATGCTTGTTCCTCTCTACCTCCTGACTAATTCATTGCTGCATTTCTTTTCTAATCAACTCTTTCTTCAACTGATGATTACACAGTTTAAATAAACTAACATTCTAGGATTTATTTGATCCCTAAATTTCATACTGTCAGAAAGAATTCTTAAGCATCGGACATCCCATTCAATACTCTGTAGCAAACGTTTTTACAAATTAAGAGATTAATTCCGAGTTGTCAGCTAGTCTCTCTATGCCCTGCAAGCAGTGTGAAGTAGCAATAAAATAACCAAAAAAAGAGTAAATGTGTAATGCTCTCTGGCGGGCTTTTTCAGCTAGGATAAAGGTGCTTCTCTGATCCCTCCCACAGCTGAGGGATTTGCTGCCAGGGACTATCAGATCGTGCTGCTGCACCTCGAGCTAACCCTCTTTCCCCCAACTCACTGCTAACTCATAGCGAGTTAAAGCAAGTCTGAAACTCTTCTGACTTACACTGGTGCCTGACACCTTGAAATTCAGAGCTGTCTTAAAGCTGTCTGTTCCTCTTGTATGTTTGTCTCTGTCTACAGAAAATATTTACAGAACAAATTCATGTGTGGTAAACCTCTGAGGTCACTGAAAAGTCAAGTTGGCCCCGAAGGAGGAAGAGGGAGTTTACCTGGATTAGACTGCATGTTGATGTTTGTTCGAGAGACATAATTGCCTATTGACCCCTGGCCTTGCATTGGCACATTCTGAGATGCAGGCACTGTATGGCTATAACCAGGCCCAGTTCCATGACTGCTGACAGTCATACTCAGAGAGGTCGTGGGCATAGTGTTCTGGCCTGACTGCTGCATAGACACGTGATTGGGACCTAGAAAAATTAAAGAGAGCAACAAGAAAATCTGTGCTATTATTGGCAACGTACAGTGAGCATTAAAGCCCTCGCGGCCTTTCTAAAATACCTTACGATAAGGCAAAACAAAACAAAACAAAAAAATCCTCATTATTTAAATTCCCTGTTAATGTCAGACAAATTAAAACTGCCTACTGCACAGTTAGAGTGATCCCCCTCTCCCTGGCAGCCAGAGCCAGGCTGTACAGAACTGCAGAAGGAAGAACAAAACCAGCAGCAATGCCCTACAACCAGCTCCTCACCGCCAGCAGGCAGCAGAATTCACAAATGCCAGTAATTTCAGATATTTCAGAAAATACATGGACTCTGGAAACATTTGCCTTCGCAAATTTGTCCTTTCCTTCCTCCTGTCCCACTGTCGACTCCTCTTCCCCCTTCACACAGACGGTGACAATAAATTTTCCAAGTCACCACAATAATCCCCCTTGTTACAGTACTCCCTTTCCAACATCACCGTGTTCAATCATCAGACTGCTCCAATGGTACCCTGGGTTTATATCATCCTGCTTCCCAGCCATATGCTTATTCTTTACAATTCTATTGCTCTTGGGTAACTAAAATCAGGGAGAGTCTGCTTCTTAATTTTTTTGTTGTTTGTTGCTGTAAATACTTCTGTGAATGAGTTTTGGAAAGTTGTTTTCATTGTGTATTGTTACTATCTAAGTTGTGATAGTGTGTATTGCTGTCTATCTAAATTCAGCTGTATCGTTGTCAATCTAAATTAATTTAGGTAGAATGGAAAACATGCAGGATCCCTAGAAGAGAGAGAATTATGTTGTAATGTTTAGATAATGATATTTTAATTCACAGTTACTAAGTGTATCTACAGCCACTGAAAAATGTGTCTAATTCTCTTAGTACAAGCCTCATTAATTACTCTTAATGGTATTAATAGACACCAAAATGAGAAAATTTGCTGTAGATTATTATATTTTCCTCTGATGGAGAGACGCAAGCAGCATTTTCAACTCAAGATAAAGAGAGCCAGCTCTGCCAAAAGCAGCAGAGCTGCGTCAATAAATTGCGAGAGAGATCTCGCCCTGTGTTTCACTCCAGTTTTTGTGGGTCTTGCAAAGCTGATACTTGTACTTGTGCAACACAAGACCACGTGGTGTTTGAAGAGAGCTAGTAGCTGCTTTGAATGAGGGCTGGAGTGAAGCAAGTGTTGATAAACCTTGCCCTGTTTGCATGGGAAAACGTAGGAGAATCTTGGCCTTCTTCAAAGCAGGGAAAAAAAAAAAGTTTGGCTACTTTGTGATTCTAAGTGAAAATATGAAAGCATGAACAAAAGTGTTTAAATAAAAACATGAAAACAATAATACAAATACATTAATACAATATATAAATACATATGTATGTATTTATACATATACATATATACATAAATATGTATGTATTACATACATAAATAAAGCATTGAACCTCTTTCATATTTTCATGAATCTAAGGCAGTTGGATTTTTCTTTGAAAGGCCTCACTCATGATTTCTGAAGAGTTAAAATTCTCAGCTGGGCCCCATTCTGTCCAGAGGCAGCCGAGTTGGTTGGTTTATTGAATGTATTGGCACTGGTTGGTTTATTGAATTTAATGGGTTTGCCTGCAGGGCTGTGCCATGAAGAATCACTGGCTTGTGGGTGGTGGACTACTTGAAATCTCAGTGGGCTGGTTTTGCCATCGGCAGAATTATCATGACAATTGAGCCAGCTGCCACCATGGGGAGTTCCCAGCATGCAGGGAATGACCCCCTTACTGTCCCAAAGAGGTGAGCCCTGTAAAGTCCTGATTGAGGATAAAATGTAGGAGCTTCTATGCCTTCTCCCCTGTTCTTCCCTCTCTTACAAAGCTGTACCTGTTCATTACAGACTTTCATCTCTATTGCCATTAGGTGAGAAATTCTGACAAGCAGTAGAGCCCTACGTATGTTTGAATTCTTTGTGCGTATTTACTCCTAATTTCCAAAAAACACTGTCCAGCAATTGTTGACCCATGTGGAGTAATTTCTCCATCCAGAATTCTATCTGCACATCCAGATGGCTGTGCCACCCAGCATGGCTGTGCTGACTCCACTCTAGCTGGCACTCTCTAGCAGGAGAGGCTGGCAACCACAGAGTGTCCCCAGCCCCACAGTGTGGGGGTCCCAGTCCCCAGTCACTCCAGTCTCCAGCACTGCCAGGCTGGTTCTCCCCGTCAGCACTAAATTACTACAAACAACTGGAGGGTGGGGGGCAAATAAGAAAACCCAGCCAACAATAGCACTGAAAATACAGATTCTTAGTAACACAAAGCAACGTTTTGACTGACTTATTATAATACTTATACTAGGTAATCTTTCAAAAAGAAGGCCCAGATAAATTTAATAAGCTCACTTTACAAGCCGTAACTGTTTAAAGTAGGTACCTCATCCATTAGTACTATCAGCTTGACCACAAATAGATTTTTTTAAAAGTCAGAAGTAATTTCATGGCTTGCATCTGCTTCTGAGTCCCCCTGCCAAGGTCTGTGATTTTACAATCAGATATTTCTATTTATAGAATCTGCTTTCTCTCTCTGTCACTCTGGGAAAGACCCACAGAAACGAGAACTGACTAAATAACTACAAACTACAGAATAAATAAACACGTTATTCGTTCTATAAAATGCACAGTTAAAAAAAATTGTCTTTCAATTAGTTTCTTTTTAGTTGCATGAACAAAAGAAACAAATAGCAAAGTATATTATCTTATTCCTGTGAAATGCCTGTGCAAACTCTTTGGCTGTGTAGTAGAGTCTCTGCGAGCTGCTGCAGAGGACAAAGACTGATGCAGCACCAGATGATTTCTCAGAAGGATGTGCCAGGGAAGGTCTGTGCAATCTAAAGGCTCAGTTGTGTGGTTAGTCATGCAAGCAATTCCATTTTCCCCTGGCCAACCCCACCACTTCCAAGAGAAAAACACCACAATATATCATTTTTCTTATTAAAAACTTGGATGCATCTTTACTTGGTGATTTTCGTTATGCATTTAAAAAAAAAAAATGTTTTTAATTTCCCCTCTAGAAATACCGAGCAGATTGGAGTCCTTGCAGAAGCCAACATCATCACTGACTGTAGCCATTTTGTGATGATTTCCCCACATGCCTGAAAGGTGAGTTTGGAGAGGTCTTTTACAGCTCTGTAAGTATATTCTGCATTAATGATTTTGTTGCCAAGGCAACAGCAAAGCAGCACAAAGGGGCCGGGAGCTCACCGTTGCTAATCTGGCTCTGCATGAGGGAGGAAGGAGGAAGGCCCGTCCCAATGGCATCGCTGAGATTGCTCTGCGAATGGAGAGCCTGGTTGGATGCACTCTGAGTCATTCCTCCGGGGCCCAAGTTTATGTTTTGCGTTGGTGGCTGCAAATAACAAGGAGGAGAAGCGAATTATTTTTTTTTTTTTTTGGTTAGGTTTTAATTAGAAAAATAATAATCCCTCAAATTAGCCTATGACTAAAAAACTGCCTCAACTAAATACGTGCTTCCTTCATGTTGGGGGCTGGCTTGCGTAAACCTCTCTTGGTGTGACTACAGTGTGAGTGACATCCGGCACCACAGGGAGAAGCCAGCAGGAAGCACAGCAGAGATCTTAAAATTGGGCTTAGAACAGAGTCTGGCTTCTGTGCCCCTTCTTCTGTCCACAGGTGAATCTCATTTTGTGCTGCTCAGAACCCCACCGCTGGGGAGGTGTGCGTGAGTAAAAGGAGACACAGAAGGATGTTGACAAACTGACCTTTCTCAAGCATAAAGCTATCCTGTATTTTGTGGGATGCCTCCAAAATCAATCCATTTAGCAAGAATAACACAATGCTTAAAGACAAAACCAATGCCCAAATGCTGAATTACATTTTTGACATAAAATAGTGGCATTTTTTCCTGAGGAAAGAACACAGTAAGAACAGGTAAAGATTAATGAATCTGGAACAAATGGAGCCTGTTCAGATCTGTACCACTGCACCATTTACAGCATAGAGAACTTGAGCTACAGAGACAGATTAACACAAATGCCCCAAATCATGTGTTTTAAAAGCAGTAACTTTGGGTTTGTTCAGTGGTCTACTTGACCACTTCAAAAATTTTAGCTGGAAAAAATTAGTACAAAATGCTTTATAGACAGTGATCAGTAACAGCATCAAAGACCATCCCAAATCATGTGTTTTAAACGCAGTAAAAGTAACTTTGGGTTTGTTCAGTGGTCTACTTGACCACTTCAAAAATTTCAGCTGGAAAAAAATAGTACAAAATGCTTTATAGACAGTGATCAGTAACAGAATCAAAGACCATTTCCCTCCAGCACCGTAAATTTATCTGATGGTCGCACTGGTACTTACAGCAGGAAGCAAAGACTGCATGTTCTGGTTAGAATCTGCTATTGTTGCCAAGTAAACCAGGTTTCTGTGCAAGATTTGTTGGTATCTACAGAATAAGGAGTAAAGCTTATTTGGAAAAGGTTAACAATACAGACAATTCCAAAAACCTTTCTCTTTTTTTTTGGTAAGAACAGGTAAAGATTAATGAATCTGGAACAAATGGAGCCTGTTCAGATCTGTACCACTGCACCGTTTACAGCATAGAGAACTTGAGCTACAGAGACAGATTAACACAAATGCCCCAAATCATGTGTTTTAAAAGCAGTAACTTTGGGTTTGTTCAGTGGTCTACTTGACCACTTCAAAAATTTTAGCTGGAAAAAATTAGTACAAAATGCTTTATAGACAGTGATCAGTAACAGAATCAAAGACCATTTCCCTCCAGCACCGTAAATTTATCTGATGGTCGCACTGGTACTTACAGCAGGAAGCAAAGACTGCATGTTCTGGTTAGAATCTGCTATTGTTGCCAAGTAAACCAGGTTTCTGTGCAAGATTTGTTGGTATCTACAGAATAAGGAGTAAAGCTTATTTGGAAAAGGTTAACAATACAGACAATTCCAAAAACCTTTCTCTTTTTTTTTTGTCTTTCTATTTACAAATGATTAGTTAAGTTACATTAGCCCACTTTTCATTGCGTCTTTCTATTTACGAATGATGAGTTAAGTTACATTAGCCCACTTTTCATTGCCATAAATAGCAATAGCAATGACCTGTATCTGTGCTGTCACGCTTTTCATCAAGGATCAGTGTGTTCAACACCTCTTTTACAAACGGGTAAACCTGGGGGAAGGGAGAGGTAAAATACACTCTCCTTCGAAAGCTTTTTGAGGGAACTGCAAAGCTGGGAGCTCCTTCTTTGAGCAGTGACACTCAGCAGCTGCTCAAACAATTAGCCACTTCTTCTTCCTCTGCTTAACAAGTCCTAGTAGTAATGAAATTCCAAAACTCCCAAACCCCAAAACCTGTTTGCCCTGCCAGCAAGCTGAGAACAAGGCTATTTTCAAGAGTGCTCTAACTGGAGTGTTTACTCAAGTAAGCACCACCAGAACCATTTATGCTCCTTCACAGTTGTCAATGAACTGGAAAAGCTCATAATAAAGAGCAGGAGGGCATCCAAAAGCAAACCACCAGCTGTGCCACCCCGCAGAGGGACAAGTCAAACTTCTAGGAATGGGGAGAGTTCCAAGAAAGCAAGAGAAAATGCGTTTTTTAGCATAAGTTAAGGGGAAATAAGGTAAGGGGAAAATGAGATAAGGGGAAAATGGCTGGGAAGTAGGAAAAATGAAGCCAGAACGGTGACTTCTCTCACAAAAGGTATCTTTTTTAGACCATTTATTCAAAATTACAGCTTTCTGGGTTTGGCCCCAGAACTTGACCTTTCATGGGGCAGACTGGCTTTTCCTCCTGACCAAGATTTTACTCCTTGAGTTTACAAAAGTATTTTGCTGTCAAGATTAGGCATAGTCAGCAGTGCTACAAACTGGCATGTCTAGAGGCACAGTGTTTTAGCCACAGATAACCACATGGCTGATCCTTAACTTTTAATTACTTTCTGATGAAAATATCTTACTAACTTTGTACCTGATTCTACTTTTATTTAATGAATCTGCTTAGAGCAAATGGTCCGATAACCATGCTTGTTTATAATTATTTTAATAAATCTATTAAAAATATTATAAATACTAAACACTCAAATACTTCAGGAAAACCCTCTGTGCCAAGAACAATATACATTTCTGAATGCAAGTCAATCTAAAAAAATAGTCCAACTGTTTTCTCAGTGAGGAGTAAACAGAACTGTTCATAGCACGGCCCTTGAGCACACCAGACATCTCTAACACACTCCAAAATGCAATACTTACTGAGTACATTCTGCGGTTTTCCCCTTGCTCTGATAATCCATAATACACTGTATTAGGTGGTGATTTTCATCTAGCATCTGCATGAAAGAAATACGATCAAAACACGTTACTGGGAGAATCCTGTTAAAGCCCCGTGGTTTTGTGATGCTCCACATTCACCCTTCTTGGCAGTGGCTGGTGTTTTCGTGCAGTTTTGCTGCCTCAGGACATTACGAAGTACCTGCACGTGACTCTGTTGAGCCACAACATTGTGCTTTTCAAGTCATTCCCTTATGAACCATTATCTTTAAAGGAGTTAATTGAAATACGCAACACAGAAGAATTAATGGACTTACCTTTTCTGCTCCGTAAATGGCAGAGAGATTTTTCTGCTGAAGAAGGAAAATACCTTCACTATGAAATACCTCTGCCTCGTCCGAAAACACCACCCAGCCCTTCCCAAAACTTCGGATTTTACCACCGTGCCTACTTTCAAATAAGAAAGATACTTTCAAGCAACTTAAACCTACAGGTTTTCCTGCGTGTGCTGACTACTGAGCTTGAGGAAGTGTAAAATTTGCATTACTGGATCTGCTGAAACCATGTTCAAGAGAACTGCATCCCAGTGTACCCTTTGGGGTAGTTCAGTTCTAATGCAGGGAGGGCTTAAAATGAAAGCACAGAGTTATTATACATCAGTTAATTTATGTGTATCAGAGGCTGCTGGCTCAGCATCATTGAATAAATTCTAGTGACTGGCTCGTTCCAAGGGGATCAGGGCTGCTGGGCAAAATGACCACTGACCTTTACTTAATGGACTTAACAATACAATTAAAAGCTTAAAATACCCTTTGATTTGTTTTCAAATTTCAAATACAGTAGTTTGTCTGTTCTCCCCCTGCTTTCTTGTGACTGCGGCAAGCTTTCTGCAGGTGGGTGAATGGAGAAAATAACAACAGTATTTACAAATTTAGATCTGCCTCTGGCAAAAGCTCCCTACCCAGTACAGCCCGTAGGTACCACCACTGGTAAGAGCAAGACTGGGCCTTTGAACCACTGGGCTGGGAAGTGCCTGCAAGACTGGGCCTTTGAACCACTGGGCTGGCAGGAGAGAAGAACTCTTGAGGAAAGAGTAAGATGTTTTCATGAGAGTTAAATGTGAATTAATTGGTGTAGGTTTGTGCTCTCATCAGAACAAATTCTTGACCCGTTCAGATGCAGACAAGGGCTAGATGATGGGAAAAGGAGCAGAAGTGTTCCTGATGGACCTGCCACCCAGCGAGTAATGTGAATTAATCGGTGTAGGTTTGTGCTCTGATCAGAACAAATTCTTGACCCATTCAGATGCAGACAAGGGCTGGATGATGGGAAAGGGAGCAGAAGAGTGTTCCTGATGGACCTGCCACCCAGCGAGTCGCTCCCTTGGAGAACTCGGCTCGTCCCACATCTGGCTGCTGATTCACAGGTTGGTCTTAAATTTGTGGGACCCCCCCAGTCCATGACAGGCTGGGACCTGCCGTGCCAGGGGGTCTGAGGAGCAGGGGCGATGCTGTGGGGTCGTCCCCCTGCTCTCCAGCACTGCCAGGGGGGAGTCTGTGTTCCCCCTGCCTGTGTGCCCGTGCTCACAGGGAACCCAGGTGCAGCGTGTGGTTTTAAGAGAACACCCTCCCTCCTGATGCACAGGGCAGCTCCTTGTTTCATCGTCACACAGAATGTTCACCTCTCTCAGTGGAAATCCCGTACAGAGAATCAGCAAAGAATATAAACCCGTGCTTTTCCGTTTCCACAACGGAGGCCACTGACAACATTTTCCCATTCAGTTAAGACACGGCCTGAGCAGCAAGACTCCAAGCAATATCACAGCCACCTTCCTCAGAAAAGGGCTGTGCTTCTACGGTTGCCTGAAAAACATTTTGCTCACTGACAGAGGGATGGGGAATAGCTCTTCTCCTAATTTACCAGGGAAAGAGATCAGAGTCCTCATCTCCGTTATACAGAGGAAAAGGAAGTTTCCTGCCCTGCAAATGCTGTTTGATGAACTGTTTCAAAGCATCATCAAGACATCCCTGCTGTCCCCTCAAAAGTTCTAACTCCCTCCACGTGAAAGCTATTTTAGGAATAGTTGGTACTGGAATCATGACCGTTTTGAGAGAATATTGAAGTTGAGTCAATAAATAAAAAACAACTGCCTATATATTACGAACACGAATTGGAATAATCCTGTTTTTCAATGAAATCGGCATGTGTTCCAAAAAGCTGCCTTTCTGAGGATTTTGGGGGTTGTTTGCCACTCCCTGCCCCTTCCCTCGCTGCCCACGGAGCCCGCCCCATCACCGCACACCCCTTCCTCAGCATCACCTTCCTCGGCCAAAGCCACCGACCGCCCTGAAGCAACACCCCAGCAAGTGCTCCTGAGACAGGGAACGGTTCCACGCGGGTTCTCACAGCATCACTGGTAAAGAAATAACGTTTTTGAGGCTTCCACAAAGTTCACAAATAGGCAAAAGGGCTTGGAAACCAAACCGAGGATGCTTTGGCTGCCCCTCGTCTGCGGATACAGCTCATGGGTTTAAGTACAAACTGGCCGAATTATGAAATTCTCTCCTAACCCCAACCAACCTGCAGGTTTAGAGAAAAACTCACCAATTGAGAAGGAAATAATTGAGTATTTAAAATTAATGGGTTGCCAATACTGCGCGTGCTGCAAGAGCTACACAAAATGGGATTAGTTCCCACAGTCTCCTGAGACTCAAGTCACCTCGTCTGTCCCTCCTCCAGCACCGTGTCCTGCCCTAATCTCCGTCCTGTCCCGCGCTGCCCCTGGGCTGGGTTTTGGGTTTATTTCCCTAGAAGGCGTGAGTCGGCACCAGGTGCCGGTTTGGCCCCGAGCCCCCGCCGGTGGGGAATTGCGGTACCGGCACCTTCCTCTCCGCTGCCTATTTCCGAAGGGGCCACGGAGAGCGCACCCCCCCCGGCTGCCCCCGCACCGCACAGGGCCCCCGTGCGGGGGGAGCACCCCGAAACACCCTGTACAAATGACAAATAGCGGGCAAAGTCAAAACATGCATGTTCTTTATTGACGTTTCCAGCCTCTGCCCCGCTGACCGCCACCCTCTGCCGCACCGGGGAAGGGGTGGCGGGGTCTGCGCGGTCCCTGCCCTCCGAACCACCCCCTTCCCCGCCGGGAAAGGCGGCTTTGGCCCCCCGCGGGGCAGAAACCTTCCAAAACCTTTGTTTGCCATTGAACATCAACAAATATCACCCACGATAATCGGAAGAATAGTACGTGAGAAGCACAGCACCGGCGGTCGGTGCTCCCTCTATCTTCGCAGCGAGTAAAATCCCGCATCCCAGTACAAAAGAAAAGCCCTTGCAAATTGGGAGATTTTATTTTAATTCGGGTTTTTTAGGTTGGATTCGGGGGGGAGGGGGAGGGAGGGGGGGGTAGGAGCCGACATGCCATCAGACACTAAGGCAGGTCCCGGCGGTGTCTCCCCTCCGCGCCCCGCGGGGACCCGCTGCCATCGCCGCCTCGGCCCCCGGCTCCTCCGCGCTCTCTTCGCACCTTCGCTTTGTTCCACCTCCTCCTCCTCCTCCTCCTCCTCCTTCCCCCACACCTCTCTCTCTCTCCAGCCGTCCGTCTCCGCAGCCCTCGCCATTCCGCCTCCGCTCCGCCCGCCCCGGCCTCCCGGCGGCGGCATAAAACCTCCGAAATCCTGGGTAGAAAAGCATGCTTTTTTACCTTCTGGATAGTTTGCTGGGTGACCTCCCCTTTGCCTCTTGGGCGAGCAGAAGCAAAGGCGACCGACATGATGGTCTGGGTGGGTTTTTTGGTTTTGTTTGGTTTTGTTTTGTTTTTCTGATTTTTTTTTTTTTTATCACATACGCGTTCCCGGCTCCGATAATATTGTTATTATCTGCCCGCTCTGGCCGCGCTCAGCCCCGCCGCAGTGCGCGGGGGG